TATATATATATTATATAACCTGACGAGCCTTATGGTGAAGCATTAGTGCCAAAACGGATGCTGTCCTTGATGATGATGACTGTTAGAAAACACCCGACTGTGAAACTGGGGTGGAACTGTATGGCCTCAGAAATGCCACACTAGCTAAACACCAATGCCACTTGATAGAAGGCTTGTCCGCGTTCGTCGTGAAATTTAATCTATTATCTTCAAACGGCTGGTCAACTGGGGTAGATGTGGCTGACTGGTTAAGGTGAGAATCTACTGACTGCAACTTCTGCATCTCTACTGTTGCTGTCTAGGCTTGGGCAACCTGGCGGTATTCCGACCCTCGTGCTTCATTCAGGTGGCCTGTCAGCTAGGCACCGAAAGGGTGCTACAGCTGGACCGGATAGAGATGATCAACACTCAAATACCCGCTTTCTAATTCGCTGGCCCCATCCGACGCCAGCAATGCTTCTGAGGCCTCAGTAGTCAGAAACCTGAAGACGCCTCACGTCATCGGTCCGCCGAGGCCATAGGTTGGGCTGGCTTGGTCACATGCTCCGTATGCTAGCCAACCGAATTCCTCGTAGGACTTTTTCGCACAACCACATAAAGTGTGGTAATCAGCCAATGCACGTCAAACAACGACTTGGCAGCGAAGAATGGAGGCCATCATCAGGAAACTCAGCTGCTCTGCTTATTCCAGTCTCCTTGGTTTGGACCCCGGAAAGAGTCACACCGATTTTCAGACATGGTTCCCTCAGTTGCTCTCATGCATTGAAACCATCGCCTTCAGTGCACAGAGCCGCTCCCGATCTCCTAAACTAAAAGTCCGCCGACAAGCTTGTATATACGCATCCATTATATCAACCACCGTCTCTATCTCCCCAAATCATCAGAGAACGAAATTATCGCAGCCTAAACCACTGTACGTCAAATGCACGGTTCCTGTAGCCGATGACGTTGAGCCTCTCAGTTTTGCGCAGACGGCTCAGTGGTAAGAGCGCCAATTTACTGACCGGAAGGTTTGTGGTTCGAACCCGACCCCTGCATCTCGACTTTATCTAGGCCTGAGCAACCTGACAGTATCCCAGTCCTCGTGCTTCCTTCGGGTGGCATGGTAGCTAGGCATCAAAAGGGTATTACAGCCGAGTGATTCATTATTTCTTATAATACAATTTCCAGGACTCGTAGAACTCACCACGACTTCGAGTGCCTTCCCTGGATCGTAAGTGGCGTGTTCAATAACTGCATATCCAGGAGCACAACCTTGCACCTTCTGGGTGCAAAGTGCACACCAAAGGACGGAATGCCTTTGGTCAATCCATCTAAAACACTTGCTCCTTCCCCTTTTCTTTAAAGACGGGAACGATGTCTCCACATTCCAGATCGACAAAGGTTTTGTCAGCTGCTGTTTGAACATCAGGGTTTTGATGGTTTCCCAGCGTTCGCCTCATTATTTCATAAATGACGGAGTTGAATAAGGATGTATGAAGTAGACATCTTTGTCGGACACCGGTTTTTGTCGGAATGCCATGAAGTATGTGAACAAAGGGACCAGTTTATTTGCACAAACTTTTGTGGCATATTCTATTGAGCGAGTGTGGTTAACAGCACTGACCGACCGACAGAATCGAACATACCCTTAAGTCAAGGAATACCAATATTGTGAGCTTATGTACATATGGCGTTGCTCTAGCGTTTGACAGTATGAAGACCTGGTCGACGTAGCGCTATCCGGTCGAAATCCCGCTCTATGCTCACGGATCAAGGATCCTCATGTTGCCATAAGACACCGATTAATCAGTGATACCAGAAGCCACGTTACACCGGGAGTCAAACTAACACATTTGTGGTTACCGCATTCACTGGGAGTACCCTTTTTGGAAATGGGCACCATTATTGACTCACTTCAGATATCTGGAACAGCTCCTTTCTCCCGGATAGACACAAATAGAATAGACAGACAGTGGCTGAGGAATTCGCTACCATCCTTCAGGAGAGCAGATGGAAGGACGTCAGGAGCTCTTGAGTAGAGCTATACACTCGAGTATTTCCGAGACAGGGAGATTCCATGTTCACAGTCCATCTTTCTGTTAAAGGCCGGCAGTCCGGGGAGGTGGCAAGTGGCCAACTGAATTAATGCTCCAATTTTTGTGCCCAGCGATCCAAACGCTCTCTTATGCTGGACATGAGTGGACCGTTCCAGTCCCTGATAATTTCGCTGTGGTTTACGTATTTTTCATAGACCTCAAAGGCGAAATGAAAAGCAGTAGCGCACGAGAGCATGGTTGGAGTTCACTCGGGTATTCCAGAAGGAGCGGCAGGCAGTGATGGACCATCACCACCGGTAACTGATGGTGATATGGAAGACTTGGATTCGGGACTGGTTCGCTGGTGGACACCACGTTGTCAAGCGATTTCCGTTGTTCTGGAAATAGGCGCTGTAAAGGAACGGACTATGATTGGCACTCATCTGAAGTAGACGGTTTCCTTTGTCCGTGCATGTGGTATCCAAGCCAGGACGATCACCCAGTTGGGTGCGTTTAGTCTACCTACATGGGCGTTCATGTCACCACCAACGACGATGTATAAGCTCTTAGGCCGTTGTAAAAGATCACCTGTGTCGTCATGGAAGCTGCCTTTGACAGATTCAGAGCTACAGTCGGTTTGGACGAAAGTAGACATAATAAACAGGTTGTGATTGACCTCACTTACTCGGGATTCTCTGACGGATATTGTCAAGCGAACCGCTCAGAGGTGACTGTCAACAGGTATCTAATCAACTAGAGACGCTTCCGCTCGGTCGCTCAATACAGTACCCACACAAGCATATCCAGCTGCATCGGCCTCTGCATCACCAGAGGTGCGCAGGTGGAACCTGGAAGAGAGCAAGGGGGCAGTCAATTTAATTGCAGTACTTGCGTCCTGTATCCTTGTTTCTGACTAACAACATACATCAATGCCGAGGGAATCCAGCTTGCGAGCAAGAGCCACCTTTTGTCCAGCTTGCTTGAGTGTGCGGGCATTAAAGGCAGCGTAGTAGACCGGTTTTCAGAGTTTGAAAACATCTCGAAGAGTTTAGGGTTGTTACGGAATTCCGGCGCACAAGCTGCAGCTGAATGTGTTGCACGGTGAACAATGCGGTCAGTCCTGGTGTTTGTACCTGTGGAAAGTGTTCAAACTTGGGTGGAGTGGAGTAGATGACGGAAAACTTGAAGGTTTAGGAAAGGATGCGTCAGCAATAACATCTTTTCGCTTCCCCTCCGCGCTGTATGCAGCAGGTAAGGCTACCCTGTTGGTGAAACCAGACGACGGTCGATGTAGCATAAGATTATTGTTAGTTATAAGTGGGCTGAGATACTGTCATGGTGGCCAAACTTAGAGAGGAGGACGATTAAGATTCCCAACCAAAGCCTTTGGCTAAAATGGCTGACCGCAGTTCAGCGGTGTATGACGGGAAATGCAAGTTCATTACCATTTTTATAGAACACATGTTCAAGCCCTCAACCTGGAGGGCCAGGAGACTGTACTGGTCAGACTTCTAACCATTGGCCAACCTGGTATGAGGAACTCTGAGTGTCGCATGGACACCACCCAGTGTAGCTCAATGGGTCACGGATGCACACCAACTATCACACTACTATAAGGTTCTGTCTCTTTGTGACGCAAAAACGGATGTGAAGCCCGGGAGTCGAACCCAGATCGACAGCTTGGAAGGCTGTCATTATAACCATTACGCCAGCCTTGCACTGTAAGATTTGGAAACCCGCTTAATCTGGGAGTTCATCAGAGGTCAGTAGTTGTATCTCCTGGATGCTCTTTATGAAGCTACTCCAGTAGGGTTGGCTGTAGTTCCTTCGAAATACCTTGTTCTGAAAACAAAGAAACATCCGTCGGCTAGTGATTCTGCTTCACATGAGTTTGGATGAGTCTCAGTCCATCTTGTGGTCAGGTACGCGGCAACTGTCTGCAGTGATACTTGATGACCTGTTGCAGCGCAAGATCTTAGTCGGTAGCCTAAGGGATTACGTCAGCGGTAACTGGTTAGGTGGTTTACCTCCGGCTTCGACGCAATGGTTTCGACTACGGTATCTTCTGGCCTTGAGCTGCTTAGACTCGGTCGTCCGAGGCTGGTTGTTGATTGTTATTTGTGGTCATCCCAGAAACAATAACCCGTTACTGGAAACGGTGGAAAGCGCACATCAAAATTTCGTTCTTTGAGCCAATAAAGAGGGGCTTGTGATCGCTCAGAAAGCTAGATTGACAGCCAAGAGCATTTTATGACCCATTTGACGGCAAACACGAGCGGCGATTGCTTCTCTTCGATCTGACCACCTCTTACCCAGATTATTTGTTTTACCTCGTATTGTAACGTTTCATGAGCTTTATATATCAAGAACCATTACTTTACTGGAGTTCATGGCTACGACTCGAACACGAAGCCAATGGACCATCGCTTCACCCTCGAAGAATCTCAATTCTACTTAACCACAGCTGCTCGTATTCGATACGCCTATTTCGAATACCTTGTGAGTAGGTAACGTAGTATTCACTTCAGTCACCTATCACAGGCGAAATCCGTGCATTCAAGTGGATCATTCTTCCACCACAAGTCTTTGCACAACAATGCAGTCATGATTTATAGAACTTTTCTTCATGAAACCATCGCTATTTCAATGGTTGTATTGTCTTATGTTGATCTCTTTTAGACGTTGAAATCGTGCCAAGCTGACTGCTGAAGCTCAGACCACTGGGCTAATTTTTTTACTTGACTTCTGAACAGTCTGTCCCGAAGCCATGTTCGATGATACTGCCTGGGAAGATAGCGACCTACAAGGATTCCGTTTTAATTGGGATCAGTCTGAGAAGGCTCTGGATGTGACGCACCTCACGCCATCATGGTAGGCTTCGCTTTTTCACATGTTAAATATCCCACTCAGGACCAATGTCAACGAGGCGAAACTGTTGGAACAAGAGGCCGTTAATGCCGGTTGGTATTTTTGATGCTGAAACTTATACCTTACATTTTCGTTAGATATTGAAAGAATTTTATGCTCCGTTTGTCACAAAGTTATCGAAAACTCTGTATTATATGAGAAGGAAGTTAGCTTTTGTTCGGAAGTACGTTTTTAAACCCAAGTACTGTTTAGTCACTCCAGTCCTGTTGGCAAACTGTGCTTTATACCGCAATGGATGACTTTTCGTTGGGTGGGATGAGTGCTTGGCCTCTGGATACATTCGGTTCGTTTGCTTCAAAGTCCTTCCTACTTGAGTTGGCAACTCGGTCGTTGGATGGAACAATAATTGTCAGAGTCAGTCGACCTTTTTCTAACTACTTCCCCGCAGATGTTACGTCACTTTCAGATGTCGTTATCCAAGGCGACATTTGAGCGTCTCTTGTTGGCTAATCGGGTTGCATTTGACCATTTTGTGAATTTTCTCAGAAAGACTGGGCAAACTCAATTACTTCAAGACCTACTCGCGTCTGTTGCTGTTCGATCATAAAATCTATTTTGATTGTAGCGCACAGAGTCTTGTTGAACACGCCAAAGTCAGTCCTCATCCAAAAATTCACTAAACCATCGGCTCTTTGCAGATCTATTCATACAACCACCTAATAGAACAGCTAGATTCTGTGAACATGTCAAATGCAGAAAATCTTATTCATCGGCTGAATGTATTCGCACTGTAATTTGGCTCTTAAATGATGACTTATGCCTTCAGGTCCGAATTGACTAACAATCCCAAATTGAACCTTATCCGTCAAGCCACTCTCGACCTATCTGAATTATTGCGATTCCAGTTTGAAAATGTAACTTGCATTATAACATGCATTATTTCCTAATTCAGCAACCCGAATGGACTGCATTCTGTGATTCTTTAAAGGCTGTTGGCGCAGCTACGGAACTGGGAGGCAGCGCCTCTGCTGATTTGTTGGCTTTACCTCTAAGCGAAACGATTCGGGCTTGTTCATGGATGGACAAGAGTCTTGGTCCTGGAAGTCGCGCAAACGAACTCCGGACTCACCATAACGTACGTGTGTTTCATTCTTTTAACGGGTACTTAATATCCCTTCTGTCATTGGACGTTTCTCGTTGAAAAAATTCAAGCGTATTGGTATTCTCCTAGTCCTAGGTGGTATACTCGCTGTAGGATTTGTTTGCTGGATTTTTATTTTGGCCCGTTAATGTTTAGCTATCTCAGAAGTTATGTTATAATTAACTTAGTTTTTCGTGTGGTTTCATTTTAAGGTATGCGTCATTAGGGCTGGACCCAATAAATAGGATCAAGAAAACCTCTATTTTTGTGAGGAAACAATCATAACTGCTTCTAAGCCTTATCCGCAATTGTGTATACAGTAATCATCATAACGCCCGGAATAATTTTTGTTTAGTTTCCTCGTATATTAACTTGAAATTGACGTGTAACTGGTCATATGGTCGGCGTGTCTACGCCAATCTGACGAGCCGTTGTAAGATCCATACGCCTCATTTGCCTGAGCTTTTCGAGATCCGACCATATGTTTTGTTTTTACAAATGAAGTGTCCCATTGTAACATCAACGTCGGCCTTCATGATATAACTCTAGACTTGATTCAGTCCATTGCTGGTTGCTTTCGTTTACTTTTATAACCCTAGGTCACAGGTAGTCCATCAGAAAGTTGTTTTTTCCAGTTTTGTATGCCTATGCATGCTCTTGCCTTCTACGCACTCCTTTTTGCCTATAATAGTTACCGAACGGTATGCTTAAGCTACGTTGTGTTCGGCGCGAGTTTCTCATACTGAAGTTTAGCATTGGGCCGTCACTTTACTAATCCTCATACTTCTTGACGGTATACCATAGCTATCTAGTAGATCGTTAGGTCTAGCTACCCTGCCGTCGTGACTTGCCGTTTGCATGAACGTTCATTTCTAATTCAAGGGTTTTAGTGGGTTGGTTGAATTTATCGGTGTTTCTGTGCCACTGATGGCATGAGTTGTGCTGTGATGAATACTGGCTGTGCACTGTACTCATTTTATGTGCCCCCCGGCCTTTCCAAATTTTATGAAGAACTTTGTGGTGCACTTAGGTTTGTGTGTCCAGGTCATGAAACATATGACTAACTTCCAGAAGTGTAGGATTGCGGCAACCCAGAAGCCTAACCTGGAAGTGTGTGGTCTTACGTCGTCTGTCCGCGCACTTCCATGGTTTAGAATTTACGTCGTGCCATGGAATTCGACTAATTATAGCCAAATTTCTTGACGTAGGAAGCGGACGTTTGAGAAAAGGTGTGCCAGCTTTCGCTTTCCTAAGTTGGGACTACGGACTGCGGCATACATTTTACTTTAGGTATCCTTGTGAAGCAAAATTCCACTTCATTTTCATCTCCTGGACACTGAGACAATGCTGAGTATATGTCTTGCAGTGTTTGTTTGTTCGTCACTCGGTTCCTCTCATTAATCTACCTCAGGAGTTACACCCTTAAAGTGGCGCTAATGCCATTTTTGAGATGCAGCTTGCTTTCCTCACAAATTCGGCATCAGATTTCCACTTTTTGGATGCAGAGCCTAGAAATCGTTTTCCAGAAGATCTCCCACGAAGATTTGAATGGTGGTTTGCTTCACCCCTATATATGGAAACTTAATTTGTTTTGAGAAGTCAAGTGGATATTCATAAGTTCACGATCCCTGTAGGGGATCTGATTAGCAATATGGTCTTTCGAGTTTGGAACCGTTTTGGTGGGGGTACGACCACCCACATCCTGCCTCTTGAGCAGCCATAGATTGCTCGCTTCGTAATCCCACAATACTATGGTCACACTGAAACCATACCCCTTTTTTCAAACTTCAACAAACAAAATGTAATGCTTGCATGCTGTTTTATGAGATTTCTGAAGAGGCGTAATTTAGTTTAGTTCTATTTATCACCATGCATGCGTGTACAAATATCTTCGCCGTCCTCTTCATTTGAAGCATCTCCCTCCATTTCGAGTTGTGATACCACTTCAAGTAATACACTGAAAATGTACAAAATCATGGAGCACTGGAGTCCCGATTAGCTTTTTTTGAAGGAGAACCGGTCGCTGATATTCACTCACGCAGTGCCGAAGCATTTTACCATTAAGTAGAGCCAGCAACATCTTATTCCCTAAGCTGTTGAACATGGCAGCCTAGTGGACACCATGCTTGATTTAGCTTTCCTACCTGACGTCTTCCTTTTGAATCCTTGTGCACTCCACTATAGAAGACTATCTAATGCATTATATCGGAAAATATGAGAATAGTAGAACGCACATCATGTTGAGTATGCCCATACTTACTGGCGACGCGTGCCACGCCATTTGAAACAGGCTGCTAGTGAATGGTATATAAAGAAACTGAGACATGTAAACCTGCTATACGAATGCAACGTGAACCAAAGCCTACACCGCTACCCGGGAGCGAGCTGCAAAACTAATTTTGACAGTTGAGACAATCAAGTGAGGTCCACCGTGTCTTCTTCCAGTTGTTATCCCTTTGTTTTGTTGTTCTTTTCATTTCACTTCATGAATATCTGCATTATCCGAGACGACCACTTTCGTGGAAACTGCCTATCGCAACTCTCCCCTAAGGAGAGAGCAACCGAACACGAGAACCGGTTATCGACGCTGTCGCTGCCACTTAGAAATGACGCTGAGATTGTTTTAACCACTGCTTCCAAAACACACTGGTTGTGAAAAAAGGAATTGTCATCATTTGCTGGCATGGTTACCATTTTTCGCTGACGGAGGGACCTTTTATCACTCTCTTGACAGATAAGGGACAGTGGATTACCCCGATCTCTAATCACTGGTATAACGTGCTCCAAATGCGTACCAATACCTCATTCTCAGCTTTTTAACAAAGCCTGAGCTGCTCCTTCGGCAGCCATCTGTGTTTGGGAACCATCGTCCTCAGGCTCCGAGGTGAAATGTTGTGGCTCTTCCACGAAGGTTTTAGGCTGCATAAGCCGTAAACTGATGTCGGATGATGGCTGTACACCTACGGTAGATAGTCATTTAGAGATCAGTGAACGTGTTCACCGCGGTGTTTAAATATAGGCAGCATAGCGAAGTAACTAAGCTGCAATATGACGTAGTCATGCAAACTTAGAGAATCTCTCTCTAACCCTTAGTCAAGTCAACAGCTCCCCCAACAGTCCGGACGGTTTCGTCCCGTAATGCTTTGAACGTCTGTTAAACACTCAGAGCCAACGTCAGTGAGGAACTGTGGCCCACCTAGCCGTAAAATCAAGTTTTTTTCGCCGTCTGCATCTCCCCGAAGTGGCGTCTGTAGAATTGAGCTTTGAAGCAATATAGCGTCAATCCAATGGTTGGGTTAAATTGCCAACAGTACTTAGTCGGTTTACATCGCAGGTGAGATGGTACTTGTTTTCGTCTTCGGCGCTGTGCAGAATGATAAGTGAATCTTATCTATCTTATGTGTAGTAGTAGTCGTGAAAATAACGTAGGTAGCGAACAAAGCTTGTTTACCGTGGTTGGTCCCCCTTGCTTCCTAGGGTATCAGCATGGTCGGTGGCGGGCGTCTTCGGAAACAAGTAGTGTTGTCCCTTGCACCCCATTGAACTGAATCCGTATGTTCTGCTACGATGTAGCCTCTGCTCAGGATGTCTTGTTCGGGACCTCCTCGGGACAGAGGTATTTTCACCAGACTGAAAAGGTGAAATCGGGTATCAGCCACTATATTCTGGTTAGGAGGGCTCGCTAACTCCTGATTCCAAAACAACAGCGGTGATAACGTAAGTCAGCTGCAGTGGATTAAATTGATAAGGTTTCCATGTTGGAGTTGCTGGTGGCCTGTTCCCTGCGTGTTTCCTTCTGGCTTGCAGGTTAGAGGTGCCCCCTTCATCAAAAGCCGGCTGGTGCTGGGGACGTGACCCGCAACACATCCCCATCAGAACCAGTGGCAATCTCTCTAACATGTCATCTTATTCCTACTACAGCGTCTCCGGAAAGCGGCCTATTCTTTACTGATCCCGCGGCCGCGGTGACCAGAAGCCAAGCTCAGGCTCCTAACGTATGAAAGGAGCGCTAAATTGGCTGTTTGTGCCCTTGACGCCTGCATGCGCACTTCTCACGACCATCGTTCATACATCAGCTATTTTAGGAGACCCGGTTCCCTAACTCCTGTAAAAGACGGATCCAGATTCCTGGACCAGACGCACCTTGCTGACTTTATCAAAGCGGACAACTTGCGTAATCACTGTATTGCGACTGCTTTAACTAGTCGCCCTACTGCACTTATCGCTTGAGGTAAACCGTTTCAAAGGGCCTCCTTGAACTTCACTGTAATGGCTGTTTATGGAAATTTCTATACAACAGGCCGCTGTGGAACAGCCGGGCTATGTGCAACAGCATCACAGCAGTTGGATATTTTGGAGAAAACGGTTTCCTTATCCAAGAAAGCAGTTGTAGCTCGCATCACCAAATCGGTTGTTTTTCACACGCTTTGGCGGAGGACCACTCGATCAGCTAGGACATTGCATCATGCGTGGAATTCGTTTTGAGCACTGGTGATTTCGAAAAACTTCTATGTCAAGTGCGCATAGATTTAGGAAACCTTCGGCCTCAATATTACTTGGTAATTGGAGCAAGTGAAGAATATCCCAGCAATCGTGACGAGGGAATGGACCGATGGACTGAATACTTCAAACAATTGTCAAACCAGCTATCAACCCAAACTCAGGACTTCGATACCAGTCCAGTCTCACTGGACTGGTTGTCGAACCCTGAGGTTGCCGAGATCTTCAGACACCGAAGAGCGTACAGGCCACCAGAGAAGGTGGCAACCTTACTAAGGTCCATAAATCCGATACGTCGGTGCTCCTCGAACGAAGTGTTTTGTTCACTCTCTAATATTGAATCCCTGCGAAATAAGATCACCTCACTGCTACCGCCGATCCTCCAAAATGGCGATAGAATGGCGTGTGATAATTTACCGCGAAATCAATCGTACTGATGTTGCTACCAGAACTTTTGCATCCCTTTTGCTACAGCTTTTTTCACAAAACTGGATACGCTCACAAACCCAAACCAAAAACTCCGTCCTTGGAGGGGGAGTGTGAAACAAATAGTGCCTTTGCAACGAAAATTAGAATGTCGTCTCATACTCGTGAAGCCTGTTACAGTACGCTCCATAGACTTTCGAGTTACGTTTGATTTCACCAATTATGAGTCATTGTGCCCTCGCGAAGCCGGTAAACCTCATTAAAGCCCAGTGCTTAGCACTGAAAGCTGGAGTCAGGGTATACGGCCACGACACCACACAGTTCGACATCGAGTCCGATGTGCGACAAGGATGCCCATTTTTGCTGTTGCTCTTTACGTCGCAGTCAGTAGGTCACTCTAACAGGCCTCCAGTTAGGCATTCAAACCTTGATGTCTGACTTAGAATATTGTGATGATGTCATTCTGTTGGATGATCACTTGGCCACCTGAACTAATTACCACAATGATCCGCCGTATATCATCGCTAATCTATGTCTGAGTTTCGGTTACGATCCCACTGTCAAGTTCCATTTGAAGGATAAATTACCAAGCTTTACCAACAACTTCTGAGTATACTTATTCGTAGGCTCGTTCTGAGCGTCATACGGTGGTCTTACAAGGCGATCCTCAACTACAATCCATGAACGTAATCCCGCTTCCCTGAGTGGTCGTAGGAAAGAGTTTAGGTCAAGTGCGATCTGCGAACCAAACTGGAATTCGAAACAAGTGAATTTCGCCCTAGATGCCAACATGGATATGGGTAACTTGGGCGGTGTGTCTTGCATGTTCAGTCCTTTCATGCGGGAGTCACTGACTGTGGTGGTGTCGGGGCGTAACTCAATTAATGCACATGTATTCGTAGAACGGCCTCCAAAACTAAAGATTATGGGCTTATACCCAATACGCAAGGGTTGGAAGCCGGTGGATTTTGGAGTGTTTTTCCATGGAGCAGGAAATGATGACAACCATCACAGCCCCTGCTGGTGCAGAAGCGATGCAACGAAAAATTTTTTAACCAGGCATAAATCACGTTCCTCTACAAATTGGAACCAATTCGACGGAACATCTGGTGAAATCCGGGCACTGGTCAAGAAGTGGCTCCTTGCAGCCAATACACTGTATGCATGTGGACTAATACACGCTTGAGTATACCGTTGTGCAATACCAATAATGAGGTGAGGGTGTCTGTGAGGTGGGCGCTCGAGTTTTTTATCAAAATCAATTAAGTTGACCATCGTTCACTAATCGTGCTAAGACCAACTGGTCAAAGATGCGTACTCCTGTGACGAATTCCAGGATGCCATGAAAGTAGAGTTTTTCCCTTAAATTTTGCATGTGAAGGAAACGTAGAAACCACAGCTGTGACAGTAGTGTGGGCGTTCAGATCAGACTCATACCATATCTACCTAACTGTTCAACTCGTTGCTATCCTTGTGCAGCATACACTCTCATCAACTTTGGCCTTCACCATTAGGTACTCTGCATCAGGCTTTCGGGCTGCAGCTAAGTGGCTGTCAAAATAAACCTTGGCCGCAGTCGGTCTATTCACGCAGATTCGACGCATTCCTGGTTGCGTGGTTAAATCAAACATCCGTTGCGTTTATGTGTATATCATAACCTGGGAGCACTAAGGAGCGTCTTCGTGCACAGTCCTTCCACTAGAGCGACCACTCACAGTAGCAGTGTCTTACGGCTTGAAAATTCAATGAAAATCCCGAGGTAACGGTCCATCCATCTCAAACAGTAAAGCCATCGGTGAGTGACATGTCCGGCATCGTTTCCTTACTTGATTCGGCTGCTGCTTTTTGCAGTTTGTTGTGTTGCTTTCAGTTGGTCTCATCATACTTACGCGCAACCTGATATTACGTGAGGGCGTATTCGCTTTGAGGTATCTCCTTAACCCCCGCTGTTTCTCCGAACTGTGAGGCTAGGTGTGAGTCTCGAAGCAGGGGTGGATACAGACGAGTCAACGGGGCATCAGGCGCCTCATCTGTGTTTGTCTATCTTCCGCTACGTTTTCACCAAATCCATGCGGTTATGATAAATTCCACAATAAATTCGGTCGTGGTTTTTCATTCATTTGACATCAAGTCCGGCCCAATGAAATAGAGACTAAGGTTGATCAGGTGGATCTTTCCGCGAAGTGAACTGTAGGAATTTAAATCCAAATAGATTCAATTCTGTCATAAGTCGCACTCAGTGGATCAAGCAGGGGCTGCAACACTGATTTGCATCCTTTCAGTAGTTTTTTAAACATTATGAATGCTATTGAAACGTGACTGACATGTAACGACAGAAATTCTCAACAACACGGCTGAACAATTTCACTTCAGTTTGAAAGTCCAGTACCGTGCCAAGGCACCGAATACGGATGGAGAGAGCCATTCAGCTGAAGAACCTGGAGGTCATATGTAGTTACTCAGTGTCGACCATAGGAAACATTGATTCTCGATGTGCCTGAGAAGGCTTCTGCAAGAATGAAGCGGTAAAATAACCTATTCACGTGATGGGCGTTAATAAAACAGCTTACCTTATTAATCCGGTATGAATGAAGCGGTAAGTTGGTTTGGAGTCTCGAAATTCTACTGCTAAAACTGAAAGCGGATGGTGAATGTGTATTTTTCATGGGCAATATCGCAATTCTAATGAAAAGGACCGTTCATTCTTCCTTTAGTTGTTTGCTTTCGTATTGCTAGATTACTTCTGAAGCGATAGTTTAGTGAGTAAGGATTTCGCCTATCTAGTGATGCCACTCTGTATTTTGCCATTAAACAAGACGCGATGCACAGATGACTTGTAAAATGCACATCTTTCGTGAAATCGCCTATCATCATTTAGGATACTTTCACACAAGATCATGCCACATCTACTGCCTATCAACAGTTGGATCGCCTTCCCCTCCAAACAACTTGACGTGTGTGGATGGACAGTGCTTCAAACGTGACTTCCAACCACAGTATGATCAGGTCATCCGGAATCTTCTACTGATTAGTGCCCACATTTGTTTGCTGAGGCATATCATCGAGCAGCTCTTGTTGATTTTACCAGTTACCAGTGACTACTCAGTGCGAACTCATGGTTCGATTCCACCTATATAGTTTTAAATGTCATTACTCCTCCCAGTCGTGTATCATAGAAGTCCCTTCATGTGTCACGGTGGCACTTACCGGACAACTAGACTTGAATGAAACATAGGTCAGGAGGACCAACGTGAAAGTCGCAGGAATATCAAAGGAATGACATCCTAAAAGGCGCCTGAAGATTGTTAATCAGTGGGGTCTGAAGTACAAGGAAGTATGTTCTATCTTGTCCAGAAACCGATTTTTGAGATTGTAAAAATTGTCTGACAAGGTGGCTGATTATGGAATTTCTGTAGTGATTATCAGTATCTCGGTAAATTAAAAGTGCTACTCAAACTTTCCATCCACAGCCTATCACGATCAGGCCAAATGTTGTGACAGTTATACCAATCAGATTGTTTGATTTGGTTATCTGAAATTCACTTGTTTTTGTGGCCTGCCTTCAAGACCCTTAGCTTGGTAAATCGACCAAATAACCTCATCATGACTCACCTTGTTTGGTAGCAGTTCGCATACCCCGGAAACTAATGTCAGAATAGTAGGAGTGCCATGAGAAGGCTGAATAACATAAGACAGATTATGCTCCCAGCTCGTAAGTCATCTGTCACAGGAGACAAGACATTAGGGAGATGACACCTGTTCCGGGACTGCACCAGGTCAATGAATTCCCAAGGAAGGTAATCAATGCCCTACATCATTTTGTCCAAGGTAGTGTATGGACCTGTATGAGCGCACTTTAGACCGTTTAATCCGGGCGGAGTAAGGCTGGAGACAAGAGAGAACAATTTCAGAGCCAGTAGTATGCATCACTGATATACTGTGACCGGCTAGTAACTTGGGGGAGCAAAATCCTGGAATGCCTAGTACATGCAACTAATGGACTACTTACCCAGGCCATTCGCAAGCCTCACCAAGGTCAGATTTATTTAGCCAGTTATGGTGAGATATGACTTTACATTATCCCAGTTCTCTGCTTCATGATAAAAACTTCAGTGTCAGGCGGATGCAGGACAATGTTTGTGAACAGGCTAGTGTTCGATTTCAGTAGTCCTCTACGTTTAGCTTTTTATTGCAAGTCTTGCACTCTTGTAAACATGGTCTGTGGACGCATGCTCTTCGTGTGTCTGGCGTCGGAATGCTTTTGTCAGCATCATGCTACTCAGTTTTCTGATTGTCCATCGAGATTGTGCTGTTTGGCTTGTGTTAACGGCATACATTGTTCTTCTGTGCTGTAAGCTCATTTTCGTGTGATTTTTTCCCTGCAGGTATCAGACGACCAGTTTCACTGGTACATTGTTGAACCACTCGTCATGGGCTCCAGGTGGGCTGAAATGGACAGTGCGCTGCTGGAGAAGGTATGTTATGTATACTCTTATGGGGATAAAGCTTACCTTTAGAAATGGCTGAAGCTTCGTGTTGAAACCAGGCTACCAACTGATCGACTTGTCCTGTACCTTCACGCATTGAATGCTCCTCCGCAGGTAGGTAACGGTCGAACTGATGGTTGAGGTGTTCTTTGAACTCGGTAATTACTAGTCTATTTCTTCGAGGGGTGGAGTCCTGTACTGGAAAAGGAGTTGAAGATAGCCAGATGTGCCGAGCGCTTCATTCGCCTGCTTAGCCGTCCACTCATCGATTTGGACAGCGGCACTCCCAACGGTCTCAAGTGAACCGTCACCACGAGATAAGATAGTTCAGGTTACGGAAACTTTTCGATTACCTCTGAGTTGACTTGTAGACTTTTTACCCGCATCGGCAGTCTTCTGTCTCTAGTGCAGTTGTTCTGATAATTCCACATCAAAATGCAAAGCACTAAACTCCGTTTTCGGTCTTGCATGAGCCCGTCAGTAGTACATATCCTTTTCTGTCCCAGGATTTTAACTCTGAACGTTTGAGGTACGCGGCGAGTGAGTGGTCAGCGAAACTTGCATGCAAGGCTTTGCTCGTTCCAGTTTGTTGTCCGCCAATGATTAGCTTTTGCAATCGAAGATTGATCAGTTTCATCCGAGAACTTAAATTTTTCTACCACTGCTGCCTTAAGATGATGTCTGGAAAGAACGCCGGACGAGTGAATTAGTTCACGACCTTTCGGCATTCAAGAAATTGTCAGTCTCATCTTGGAAAAGCCAAGAAATCGGGATAACCAACCAGACATTTGCACCACCACCGTACTTTGATTGACGATGTCGCCTGTCAGCTAAAAGCTGTGGTATCAAGATTAGCAAAATGGTCGTGGAACACCTGGTCCAGCTCCCGCTCTACGGTAAGACCTACAATGTTCAAAGATTATGTTAATCGGACTGCCACCAAAATACAACTTATTTAGAAAGCAGTGCGACCACCACTGAAATATCAGGTGATTAGATGCCCTCTCGCATGCTGGGAGCATGTGTTGGATATCACGAGCAGGCTGAAGGTGGAAAACTTGGTCGATTGGTCGCCATTTACGTAGCACTTTCCTGAACCGAATCCAAAGATGTGACGTATGAGACCCTAGGTTTCGCTTTCCAGTTGCCAGTAGCCATAAGTGCATCACCATTGGGTGTACGGTTGGACACTCGGTGGGTCAGCGCTCTTGATGGAGGGGTTCGATAGAGAACTGAAGACACAGACGACTATGACGTTCAGGTTCACTAGAGTCTTTGAAAGGGGCTGTCGCAATCCAGTGTGGTGTTTATCCCATGGTACAGGCTTCGTGAGCAAGAGTGATACCGTGAAGGTCAGAGTTATCATTTAGACTGCTGTGGTACCACCATTTAAAAAATTTCTTCACTGGCACTTTGATACGCTATGAACCGAAGCCACAAATCCGTGTCATGGTTAGCACGGCCGTGCCCCGATGAGTAAGAGATGGGCTTCTTTGTGAACTCAACCTCCCATAGGTTTTGGTTGCAACATAGTAACATTTATTGTCAAATAGTACACATAGTTTTCCGGTGTGACCATACTTCAAACATCCCGATGCCTTGTAGCACTGCAAGTTTATATATGAAGACAAAACAAATGGTGTTTGTGATAATTTATAGAACAGTTTCATCATCGCCTCTGATCTCACAGAAGTAGTTATTTCACTCTTTAATTTCATTCTCGTAAACTTTACCGGTCACAACTAAATTTAAAAACCGCAAATTGCCAAGTGGTTAAAGTTTTCGACTCTCAACGTCTGCATGCGTTTCTTTAACAACTTCACTCCTGAGTAGTCTGATTGTTCTTGATTCATCCAATCGTATAACCATCACTGGTTCGTCGATAACAAGCGGTGGTCCCTCCGTCTCGGTCTTGCCGGGTACCCCCGCTTCAAAATCATGTTGTTGGGCCTGTTTGTCTTACCCACTTTCATTACTAAGGGATGAGGGTCGGATGGAAACTCATTTGAGCAACACCTACTTAGTGTAACGTAAAAAGTCTATTGCGCTGCAGCCGATACGTTCACGTCCCTTATACACGGAGCTTCTTTGCTCTCTGGGGACAGTAGATCCTACCTGCCACAAAGAGCCCTGTGTCCAAATAATAGATGATGCATGTGAACTGGACTCAGGATACACAACCGACATCTCCCATAGCTTATACTTCTGACCTAATTCATGCATAGCCCAGTCACTTCTCATAGGAATATAGTAATGATGCCTGTTTTAATACTAACTGATACGCATTCTCTCTTATTCAATGCTTAGATCATCTCGAACTACTTGTCACACTCCGAGAACAATGAAGAACTGATAGAAACTGCTACACGTCTGCGAATGTATTCAGCCGCGATCCAGGTACTTACGAAATTCAAGGTTAATTTTGGGTGTAGTGGTTTTCTGTGCTCCCTTTGATTTTGAAACTCCGTTGACATAACCACAATTAAATTGTACATGCTCGATAAGTGATATAAAGTGACTGAAGCGGTCTGGGGAGATGCCATAGTGTAGCAACATGGAGCCACAACTTTTGTGGCTCATTATCCCCAGCCTTTGTGCTGCCAACCTTTGGACCAACCGGAAACGCAACATCACAAGCGACTTGTTAGTGAATGTAAGACGCCATTCAGCTTAGACACCGTATCGCCATACCCTTTTTCCACTTTGTTCAAGAGGGCTCCGTGGCTGTTCTCTTATAGTCTGTAGTCTCCGGTTGAAGCGGATGGTGAAACAGACCGATGTGTGATCGTGATCAGGTTCACTGGACTTCCGTTCAAAGGCTGTGACTGTCTAACAATAAGCTACAATCCTTAACTCATCCTGCTTAGTTGCTGTCAGCTGCCAAATTGACTTCGCCAAAGTGTAAGCTACAGAACAAGTCAGTATTCTAGTATTGAATTCGAGCATGCAAAGTAGCTCGCGCTTGCCAGGGTAGTGAGTAAGTACAGGACTCGAAGGTGAAACTGGAGCTCAAAAGTTTGGCAGCTGCATCATCATCATCGACAGTATGACACCAGTGTTCATGCATTGAAATTGATGTTCATAATCCACACTTCACCTCTAGTGGGGAACAATGGAGCTCAAAGTTTGGCAGCTGCATCATCATCATCGACAGTATGACACCAGTGTTCATGCATTGAAATTGATGTTCATAATCCACACTTCACCTCTAGTGGGGAACAATGAATAATAATTACTTGAACACATACAAAGTGCTGAGAAGTTCGTGTACGAGTTGTTTTTTATTTATATTTCTGGAATTCCTGAAAATCCGTGACTTATTGGAGATTTCCTCCTGTACGTGAAGCCCATCTATGCTGAAGAACAGAGAAGCAATATACAGCTATTTCATCCTTACTGGGAATCGTCGCGGGTTCGAGACTCTCTGGAGTTTCCTGAGATGCACGCTGCTGCCGATTCCCAATAATTCGTCGTCCAACTAGCCACTTAACACGTGCGACCACGTGATTTGGATCCCGTGATCGAAGGATAAGTGGCGCCGTATCTTGTCTAATCACACTACCGATCAGCCGCTCGTAGCCGAACGGTCAATTGTCTAGACTACTGACCGGGAGTTCGAGACTTTGAATTTCTGTATGATTCGCTCAGAGGTTAGAGCGCGAATTTCCTGACCGGAAGGTCCGTGGTTCGAACCAGGCCTCTGTCTCTCGACTTCCCCTATCTAGGCTTGGGCAACCTGGCAGTGTCCCCGCCCTCGTGCTTCTTTTGGGTGGCATGGCAGCTGGGCACTGAAAGGATATTGCGGCTGAACGATTATTTTTTCCACTGTTGACGATTCCCAATAAGGACAAAACAGTTTTACGGTGCCTCTCAGCTTTTCAGCATAGATTGTTTTCATTTGCAGGACGAAGCCTCCAATAAAATTCCCTCATCACGCTACCAACATTGTGACATACTTGGTGTAGCTTGTGCAAATAATAACGTCATTAGGTTTCAGCTTAAGGGGTCATGTTCTCAGAGAGCATGGTGTATTCATGAAAGCTTAACTAGTTCCTCTACTCGCAACAACTGGAAGGTGTTATTTCCTAAACCTCCTTTCTGACAACGCTCAAAATGTTTAAAGGCTCCTGAGCTAGCTTGTCCCATGCATTAGATATGGACTTAAAAGAATAGTTGGTCAGATGTTCGTTTACACTCTCCAGTTAGCCAACGATCTCAGCTGGATAGAATGGGACGATGTTGTTCGTCTGCGCTACTGCCCCTTTTTCACGTCATAATTTTACTACTACTCTATCGTCCTGTCTCGCAGACTGATGAGTCGGTAGTTAAGGCACGAATTTGCTGTCGGTCAGTAAAATCCGACTGGTTTATTGGAGCACGCGGCTTTGACCTGGTTGACCGAACGCAGCACGCTTTAGCTAGTTTTGCTCCAATTTACTTACCCCATCGAATAACTGGGTAGGATGACCATTCACACACAAACCGGTTGTTTCGCACTTAAGTGTTAGGATATGTTTCCGAACCCCAACTAACTTCCTGTTGCTCACTGCTGGCGCGGTCACCTGACGTCATTTAAGCACAGCCACAATTGATGCTGCGCTCTTAACAATATAACGACAACTATGGATTCTCACGATTAGGAGCATTTTTGCAGACCTGTGGAACCAGCCAATTCGCCTGTTCTGTCAGCTTCCAGCTTTCCAGTCTCGCCTACCCGAAATTCCACTTCATTCACTGGTGAATTAGTATTGCCCATCGCTTAAGACTACGAAGCTCTTGAGGACGGCTTCCAGCCGGATACAAATATTCCCATCTGAAACATATAAGTGAAGGAAATTTTGGGATTCTTCAGCGGTGGTATTCGTCCAAGAGTGAATTTTACATTAAAATTTCTGGTGGAGAACGTCATCGAGGTTTCTTTTCAAGTTGACGTGGGCGCATTTTGTGTATTTTAAGAACTGCTGTTGTTCTACGGTCCGCTCGCGGATGAGAATTTTCGGAAACTTCCATCATTCGCGCACTTTATACCTAGAAATGTCAGGTACTTTGTATAGCAATAGAAACACTCGTTCCCTAGAAGTCAGTCACCTAGCCCAAAGGTATACAGTTCGTATACCGGTAAAATACGTGTTTTTTTGGGCAGTGAGGCAGTCTGTCAGAGATGTTGATGTTGACGTGATCTACCTTGGCTTTTTTGCTGACAGGCGTGCGTGAGACGGAAAGATCGTGCTTCCCTGCAGGAACTGCTGCATCGTATCCCGAAGAAGCGACCAGAACACGCTGAAGTAGTTTATTATCTTTCGACGCCGGTAAGTAATAAACCTATTGACTAAATTCCTCTGGCATTGAGTTGTAGTCGTAACTTCCCCATAAAGCCCTTCCTACTCCCATAAGTGTCATTCTTCTTCAAGACCGCCTGACTAATCGGCAGACGCCCTTTAATCAGCAATAGGATGTATAAATTATCACTGACACGTGTTAATAATTTTAGCCCATAGTATAGATAGCTGTTTTACGGACATAAACCATTTTTCACGTTTCCTCGACTCCGGATTACTCAACTACGTATTGCACAAAGCTATGTAATCAAGGCAAAAGCCGCCCCCACCAATTACTAGTCGCTTGATTGTAACACCAGTTTACTAGAATAAGGTCATGAATCATACTGTGACCGTCCCTGTTTTTGAGGGGCGTGGCTAGCAGGGGACACCTTATATCTTCTTACCTAGTCTGCCCTGGGACACTGAAACCAGCTGCGACAGTGAGCCACTTCATATCCCATCTAGGAGCACATATCTAGACACCTATCTATAAATCACACATTTTGTTAGGACCTTTATGCTCCAAATTCAGTACGTGTTGCTGCATTGAGTTGGTCAAAACAATAGTAGAGAGACGGATTTCAGTAGTGTGTGATGTAGTAGTGGTGTTCCTAATCATAAACAAGTTTTGGAAATAGCGATGTGGTAGAATGTAGGCAGCTCGGGTGTGCTGCTTGGTTGTTGGTCCGTTCGCCGAGCTTAGCAATTGGGTTGCAAATGTTTCATCACCAATCGAGGTGACATTGTCAGTAGGACCCACTCAACCCTGCACCAACAATGTCACCTCGATTACTGATGAAACGTTTGCAATCCAACTGCCAGGTGTGCTGCTTGTTGGTCCGTTCGCCGAGCTTAGCAATTGGGTTGCAAATGTTTCATCACCAATCGAGGTGACATTGTCAGTAGGACCCACCCACTCCTGCACCAACAATGTCACCTCGATTACTGATGAAACGTTTGCAATCCAACTGCCAAGCTCGGCGAACAAACCAACAACCAGGTTTTGGAACTGTCTAGTCGTTTATTTGTACGGTAGCTATTTTTCATTTCAAGGTTTGTGAAACGCACCTCCTTCCCTTCGTCTCAACACAGACATTATTATCCCTGAATCCCACTACTCGATTAGGTTAGTTGTCCTCCCGATGAAAAGCAAAATATTCGATAGACCCACAAAAGTGCTCACGTCTTCGTGGCCGTCATACACAGGAGCTCAGGGTCAACGGACAATTTACGTCGTATACATTACAACGCTCCCGTCCCGAAAACGGGCAGGAGGGCCGCCTGATGCACAATCACTTATCCTACCTCTGAAGTTAGGGGCCCAGTCTACAGTGCCGAGTCGAATGAGTTGGTCATATCCATCATATTAGTGACCAAAGTGGAAGCTTCCCAAGCCATGGAATGTGGTGCGAAGAGCAGTTGTACAGTCATCTGGTGTTTAGCCCGCTGTTATCAACATCAAATCAAACCTCAGAAATGAATGTTACATGGGGCATATTTGTAAGACAAATACTGTACCCATTGGTGGTCTATTCATGTTGTGCGATAGGCTTATTTCCTTGCATTACTAAAACTTTTAACTGAGTTAAATGATCACATAGGAACATCTATCTGCTGTTAAAATTCGTCTTCGAACAACCCCCTCCATAGGACTCCTCCCCGCCAGATATTTAGAACAATGTTATCAGTTTGTAGACATGAAACATCATATGTAGGCTGAGTCTGTCCTACTAATATTGGTGGTTCCTTGTGTTTCAGGTAAGTCAGTGGAAGGACGGGAGAAAGGGTTGACCTAACGACTGTAATGTACAACTTATTCACATTTGTATGATAAAATTGTAGTCAATCAAAGAATTTTTGTTATCGTCGCTTGGGTACATGATGCCCGTTGGCTCGAATTCCCCTAAAGGAGTCAGCGTGTGAACAGTATCTTCTCCAAGTTGACCTGATGGCTTCACCAGTGTCTCTCCAAAATGAGGCGTCCACAGACGTCTTGCTACTCGCTTTGTCCGCGTGCATAATGGTTCGAAGCGCCAGAGTGCCTAAACCGAGCGCACATACCAGGAATGTTTTCACCAACATTTCCTCCAGTAAGGATGACCACCGATGTTCAAGTGCCCTGTCAAAAGGACAAAAACATCAAAACAAGTGATCCCATCCAGTATCATTGTTATTAATGATGTTAATAGTAATGTTGCCGGTAATGGTGAGGATAAACTTTAACTCAGGACAGATTTCCAGCTAGACTAATGACACCTAGAAGAGACAACAGAGATCGTTTGGGGACACAGCTGCAAACGCTTTTCTCACCCAAACGCGGGAAAACCTGTTGGATTTTCAAGGGACATTAACGGTAACAAGAGATGTACTGAATGTAGATAAGAAGTGCGTCCCCGGTGGTCGTACGATGCGCTAAGAAACTGACTTCTGCGAGGGTAAGCGGAGTAAGGAGTTCTCGTTCAGCTAGTGCAATTTCCCGTTGTCTTCCATCGTCTAAAAAATAGGTGGTGCGAACCTTGAACAGTCACGTGATCCTCAGCTCACAACTTGTGACCCAATAGCAACTGCGAGTTTAAAACTCAGTCTTTGTTACTTCTTATGGAGTTTTACCGGTTCTGTAGTTTTGGAACTGTCTAGTCGTTTATTTGTACGGTAGCTATTTTTCATTTCAAGGTTTGTGAAACGCACCTCCTTCCCTTCGTCTCAACACAGACATTATTATCCCTGAATCCCACTACTCGATTAGGTTAGTTGTCCTCCCGATGAAAAGCAAAATATTCGATAGACCCACAAAAGTGCTCACGTCTTCGTGGCCGTCATACACAGGAGCTCAGGGTCAACGGACAATTTACGTCGTATACATTACAACGCTCCCGTCCCGAAAACGGGCAGGAGGGCCGCCTGATGCACAATCACTTATCCTACCTCTGAAGTTAGGGGCCCAGTCTACAGTGCCGAGTCGAATGAGTTGGTCATATCCATCATATTAGTGACCAAAGTGGAAGCTTCCCAAGCCATGGAATGTGGTGCGAAGAGCAGTTGTACAGTCATCTGGTGTTTAGCCCGCTGTTATCAACATCAAATCAAACCTCAGAAATGAATGTTACATGGGGCATATTTGTAAGACAAATACTGTACCCATTGGTGGTCTATTCATGTTGTGCGATAGGCTTATTTCCTTGCATTACTAAAACTTTTAACTGAGTTAAATGATCACATAGGAACATCTATCTGCTGTTAAAATTCGTCTTCGAACAACCCCCTCCATAGGACTCCTCCCCGCCAGATATTTAGAACAATGTTATCAGTTTGTAGACATGAAACATCATATGTAGGCTGAGTCTGTCCTACTAATATTGGTGGTTCCTTGTGTTTCAGGTAAGTCAGTGGAAGGACGGGAGAAAGGGTTGACCTAACGACTGTAATGTACAACTTATTCACATTTGTATGATAAAATTGTAGTCAATCAAAGAATTTTTGTTATCGTCGCTTGGGTACATGATGCCCGTTGGCTCGAATTCCCCTAAAGGAGTCAGCGTGTGAACAGTATCTTCTCCAAGTTGACCTGATGGCTTCACCAGTGTCTCTCCAAAATGAGGCGTCCACAGACGTCTTGCTACTCGCTTTGTCCGCGTGCATAATGGTTCGAAGCGCCAGAGTGCCTAAACCGAGCGCACATACCAGGAATGTTTTCACCAACATTTCCTCCAGTAAGGATGACCACCGATGTTCAAGTGCCCTGTCAAAAGGACAAAAACATCAAAACAAGTGATCCCATCCAGTATCATTGTTATTAATGATGTTAATAGTAATGTTGCCGGTAATGGTGAGGATAAACTTTAACTCAGGACAGATTTCCAGCTAGACTAATGACACCTAGAAGAGACAACAGAGATCGTTTGGGGACACAGCTGCAAACGCTTTTCTCACCCAAACGCGGGAAAACCTGTTGGATTTTCAAGGGACATTAACGGTAACAAGAGATGTACTGAATGTAGATAAGAAGTGCGTCCCCGGTGGTCGTACGATGCGCTAAGAAACTGACTTCTGCGAGGGTAAGCGGAGTAAGGAGTTCTCGTTCAGCTAGTGCAATTTCCCGTTGTCTTCCATCGTCTAAAAAATAGGTGGTGCGAACCTTGAACAGTCACGTGATCCTCAGCTCACAACTTGTGACCCAATAGCAACTGCGAGTTTAAAACTCAGTCTTTGTTACTTCTTATGGAGTTTTACCGGTTCTGTAGAACTCAAAAAGTCTACCGGTAGTGCTAGATAACCTTGACGTGTTTCGTATGACGTTTTGTCATATCATAAATTGTACCCATCCACTGGCCAATTTCCCGCTTGTCTACCTGATTGCCTCTTGGGTACTTGATTCTCCCTTGTTATGGAGTTCGCCTCAGAACGAACTTACCGGTTCACGTTACACTTACCAACCAAAATGTGCACGATTAAGACACTCCCAGATGACCCAAGCCCGAGCGACCGGTCGAAAATTCAGGGGCGATCTTTCGCCGTGAAATGGCGCGGCGAATGAGCTTGCTCAATCTCAAAGACTATGACGCTTTTCAGACGGGGTACTCGCAACTCTCTTGGGAAGTGCGCATAAGTATATAACCAGGACGCTATACTTGAACTGAATATGGTGTACACTCTCAAAATCCGGCCATCCACCATAACGGTACCTTTGCGACTCATTATCTATGGACTTGCGCAAACAGTCTCCTCGTTGTGCTGTCACTATCTTGATCTCCGTCGTCTGTCACTCGTCACGAAGGTACCCGTGATGCTTGCGACACCGATCCCTTTGTTGAGTTACATCTGCCACTGTCAAAACCACTATTGGCCTCAATGGCTTTAACTGGATGTTAACAAGCTGATTATAATTACTTATTCGGTCATACCTACCGGAACAACCACGAGATAACTCGGTGGTTAAGGTGCGAAATTGCTTGTTCGAACCCAACGTTGCCTTTCCTATTGCTCCATGACAATCTGACAGTATCTCAGCGTCCACATTTTTCGAACGGAACGATTATTATCAGAACAAGCCCACTGGTAGTGTAGATGAGCGATATTGTTGGAGTGAGGGTCAGACATTATGATAGGACAACATATACTCACAAGTTCCATTGTCCTTAGTATGGAAGTAACTATGGCTTTCTGATATGCATAGCTTTCATTGTCCGACCTAAACAACGGATTTACACACACGTTTGACATCGCCCGTTGTGATGGGTAGCGCCCGACCAGCCGATCTGATGCGAGCTGTTAGCGTAGATAAACGACACAACAATCGAATCTATACCGATAAATATGACTGCCAAACTTCGATCGCCCCACATTCGCACTTTTGACTCACTCACTGTTTCCACAGAAGGGCGCTTAATGGTGACCGGTCAGCCTATTTGCTAGGTGTCTCGACGACCGACAGTGCCAAAATCAGTTTTTCGATAAAGAGAAGTCACATTGTTGTTAACCGGAAAGAGACGACAGTGTCCAAGCGCCTGTTGTGAAGGTAGGATTTATGCAATCACGGCCGGGGTACGACCCGGCTCGGTTCTCACGAACATTAATGCTCCATATGGTGGATGTAATTAGTGAGGAACAAGGAGTGCCATTCAGAGCGGACTGGGTGAGAAAGATTCCTGTCTAGGCTTGGGGAACCTGGCAGTATCTCAGCCCTCGCGCTTCCTTACGGTGACATGACAGCTAGGCACCGGAAGAGTATTACGGCTGAAAGATGAGAAATGATAAAAATTTCATTTCCTTATCAAAGAAGCATTCATTGAAACTACGTAAAAAGCCCCGTCAAATCTCGTCTGAGGATTCGAAAGGATGACTTCAATGTTGGACAGATAGGCAAAGCTTACTTCTACATGAAGCGAGCTTGAAAATGGCTTGTTTTGTCTTATACCTGTGACGAAGCACGCAGGAAATCGTTAATAAGTATATCGAAATACCTCCATGCTTTTTAGCGGACTGAGATTTCAGGTTGGGCTTCAGGAGAGTTAATGCCGTTGAAACTCCGCTATACTGCAGTCTTCTGGAGAAAAACATTGGATATTAGCCGTACATCTGCAGTGGTTAGAAAATCCTAGGACCGCAACACCTCACTTTTGAGCAGAAGCATGGGACGTGAAAAGCTATCACCGTAGACCTTATGGAGGTACCAATTACCAAGATACTCTCCGGTCCAACAGAAGAACGTTCTTTTGTGAATAACGCCTCTAGTCACCTTATGGCTACATACTTGTCGGAAAACTACACTTCAAGGCATCAGCCCTCAGACCAAGAACTTTTAAGCGCGAATTCAATAAACTTCTGCTCGAGTTCTTGGCACTACATTATAAGCTGTTAATCACTATCGTATGTTTTCAATATTGATGTGCCGCGCGTGATGCCATTCATCAATTGTAGGGGGTTGCAGTGGATCTGGAAGTAATTTTCAACGCCTCGAATTTTCCAGTCTCGAATCAGATTCCACTAAAGGGTGTTTTGTAATAGCTTATTTCCAGTTGCCGAACGATTTCTGTGAACAGGCGACCACGTTTTCAATGGGAAGTAAAGTATGTTGACGAAATTCGATAGCGACGAGGTAAGTTTCAGTGAAGACTATAAAATTCACCTCACAGCTTAGGATTCGGAAACACTGCTTGTTCAGAAACACAGGATTTGCACGAGGCTAGAGATAAAAAAGCGGAGGCGTGATCCCTGAAGAGTCACACAAGGCCCCCAACCAGCCGCAGCGCCTCTCTAATCACTTACTTTACTTAACTTCACGACAATCATGAACCAAGTTCTATCCTACCGACGGAGACAGCAAGTCCGAGACGACCGTAACATTGAAAAGCTGAGTTTTTGGAGGAATTCAAGAAAACCCTGTGCAGTTTAATGCAACGTTTCTTCATTTTTTCTTCCCAGATGGAGTGGTCTTGAGAACTGAAGACTCCTGCTGGTGATGCCAAGTAGCTCAGTTAGATACGTTTCCTCACCAATTAAGCCCGTTAGGTCATAATCATTCACTAGCAATTGGAACCTTGCGTAAAATATCCTGGTTCACTAGTGTTAAACGACTTGACCTAAATGTTCCGATTTATTTGTGCTTTCTTCGCTGTCGAAAAATTATGAACACTTGCTACAAGAATAGTATGAGCCTGAAGCTCACGACATTGGCTTCTTTGCAGCTGCAACTATGCCCAATAAAGTAGTACTTGACATGTGCATGAGTCTAGTTCGTGACAGATTCGGTGACATCCAGTCGCACTGGCAGTGGGATGGAAATGACGAATTGTTGAAAAACAAGCGAACCTGAACAAGGCAGTTCGGAAAAACAATCAACTACAAGTTGGTGGGCCCTGAAGACGGATGTTGGGCAGTCAGTATTTACCAATGAAGTACAAAACACAAATTATCCAATCGACTGAAAACTAGAGTGCCCAGTATAGCCTGACAGTAGTGACACAAGAATTTAGGTTTCCAGCACTATTACTATTCGTGTCTCTGTTAAAAGGATTTGAACCTTCATCTTAGGTGGAACTGTACTCGACGATGACGTCCGTTCACACTAGATCTTCTGTCACGAGTTAGCAATGAACTAACGAAGCAGAGCATGAGCCAAGATGTAACGTGAATTTTTATAGGGAAGTATGAATCACCGGAAAATACCAATTCCCCCTTGATTCTTATCTATAACTGCAATCATTTTGGGCAGTGCAGTAAGCAGCACCGCCCCTCCCAACCTCCTCCCAAAATCAAACGGGTATTTTACTGGAGTCGCTGGTTTATCTGTTGGAAGCATCACCAAAACCTTCCGCTTAGAAAAAATGTCATTATTCCCAATCCGAAATTGACCGTCACGAAGCGACTGGGTGTTACTGTGGTGTAACGGTTTATGTGCCTTCGTAACCCGTATAATAATATACAGCGCACCTCAGCATTGTAAACTCGACCTTGGCGGATAAGGTGATGCCACGTCTGTGTAATAGGTGATACAGGCTCATGAAGGCTGCTCTGGCTTTCCTAATCCGGATGAAAATATCTGCGAGACCGCCGGGACTGATACAGCTGGCCAGGCATACAAAAAAAACTTGTCCACTACCCCAAATGGTCCATCTTCACAGACGGGGTTAGGGTTCGAGTCCATCCAGTCTCGCACCAACACTTTACGGGTGTGAAGCACATGCAGTGGCGTCACATCCAAGAATAACTGTCGTTTTGGTACCGGATATCTGTAAGCGAACAACCCGGGAGCACTCCGACACCGTAGGCGTCAAAGGCTGGTGGTGAGTCTTCCATAATCATGTCACTGAAGAAGTTGAAGCGGAAAAATGAAAGAGGACAGTCTTGTCCGACGACACTTGATGTGGTGAACTCAGGCGAGAGCTTTTCGCAGACCTTCGCACGTCCGTGGGAGTTGGCGCACAGCACCACGGTCAAGAATTTACGGGACACATTTGCTCCAAAGGCATCTTCATGGTGCCTGACGGTCCACAGAGTCAATGACAGCTTTCAAGTCAGGGATTACAACCACTGTTGATCACTGAAAGCGGTGCCGCATTCCAGAATCTGTCGGAGGGTTAAAAATCTGATCAGTGCGCTTTCTTCCAGGATGGAATCCAGATTGGTTTTCACGGATCTGTCTCTCCTTATGTTCAGTCAACCTTCAAAGGAAAGGCCAAAGAGCACTTTCAGTGCCGCAGCTACCGGGATAATACGAGTTTTTACACAGCAACCGCATACTTCCTTTGGGGACTGAAATGACTGCCGAAGTGT